TCTGTAGGGGAAGGATCAGTATGTCGTTATGTGGTGGATACAGTTCATCAATGATTATGCGACTAGCATTAGAAAAGTAACCGCCGCATCACAACGGGAACAACTGCTAAGACATTACGACAATTATTTACAATTGACCATTCAATCCACGATAACGGCATACTGATCCTTCCCCTACAGAAACCAATTTGTCAAAGATGTCAACCAAAAAAGATCGCTACCGAAATTCTAATTACCATAACATCATCCGGTTTAATTCCCATTGATATATAATTGCGAACAAGACTTCGACACAATATAGAGCATTTCAACATAATTGAGATATCGGATGCCTTCTGAAATTGCGACAGAGACACAAATTTATCAATGAGAAGCATCAATGTAACCAACACGTTTATTTCCTGCTTTTCGAAATACTCCGGCGGGAATAAGTGCAACAATGAAATGGTCTTCGATATCTTCAGGATCGATTTAATATTGATCGGAACTCTCTTTTTGGGGTGTTGATTTTTCGATGTATCAAAACAATTCACTACATGATTATATAATTCCGAAGGCTTCCGTTGACCCTCCTTGAAAGAAATTCTGACGATATTTAATGCTTCTCTTTTGGCTTCCTCGAAACATTTCACGCCATTATCTTCACCTATATTCTTGAAGATGACACCCAATTCTTCCAAAAAGACCTTGAGAAAATTTTCTATGATAATTTGAAGAAAGAAAGAAATCCAAGTTGGTAACCCCCTTTTCAACGCAAAGCCTTAAATTGAAAATAATCGACTTACCTCGTAAAGGAATAATCTCGAAAAACTCGGTCGTGCTCAAAATCTGAATGCACACTGTTCCAATACTAACTCTGCTATCTTTTCTATTTATAAAGCTAACGCCTCTAATGAGAAATTTAATGATTGAATGAAGTTCCCCTTCTTGACAAATAGCACTAGTGGAAATTCGTAATGAATAAAAAAGGAAAAGATCGGCAATTTCGGCAAATGAATCTAATTTACCATATAATATCCAGCCATTCGCCGATAATGAGCATCGAGTTTGCGACCACAAAATTTTCATCATTCAAATCC